CAGCACTAGTCTCTCTCCACCCACCCACCCCAACCTTTTACACACCCCTCAGCCTAGCCATGTCCCCACTAGAGAAACTGTGGAGTCCCTTTGCAAAATGAAAGGCTCCAGAGATCAACATGGGAGGGGACTGGGGTCTTGCTTCAAAATCAAGAACCACAATACAATTATTTTATTTTCAAGGCCCATGGAATAGTCTTTGCTATTTCTTCTCCAAGAGGGGAAAATATAATCCTAAATAAAGCAATACAAATCTGCCTAAAGCCTTCATCAAATAAAATGCACAAAGCAGTTGAAGCTAATCCCCAGCCCCCTAACCCCAATCTCCAAATTAACACAAACTATCCACTCCCCCTTAACAAACTCCTAGGGTTCCTGCTGGTTTGGAGCAGACCCACAGCAATAATAATAAACTAATAACTAACACTATTTAATAATAAAAGTATTTCATAACAACAAGCACTTATTCTGTGTTCATTCTGTGCCAGGCACTGTGCTAAGTGATTTGCAAAGATTATCTCATTTTTTTCCTCCCAGCGGCCTTCAAGGTAGGTGTTGATATTTAAATTTTCAAGATTAACATACGAGGCTCAGAGAGGTTCCGACCTTTCCAAGTCCTAGTAGGCACTAAGTGACAGAGCTGTAATTAGAATCCAGGTCTGACAGTCCAAGCTCTAAGGTACATTAAAGCACAAACCGAGTTACTCCAATACCATCACCAACCCTAGCACTTAATAGAGAAGAACCACCATAGCGATCAACTGAGTCCCCCTCCACCAAGTGAGAGGCTACAAACCGATTCACCTACATACACACAATAAAGACCGTGACTTTTCAGCCTAATACTGTTTCTTGACCCTTTTCCTTTCATTGTTTGCTGATGGGGGTGTGCCATTAAGGGGACGTCAGGGATAAGCTGGTGTGTACCCCATACTACACACAACTCTTCCGTCTTTCAACCACTCCCACTTCAAATCAATCTGGGGAAGGGGGCAATAGGACACTTGGCCCTGCAGCAGGTGGTAAAGTAAAAAGACGGCTAGGTAGCTTTTTCTATGGGGGCGGAGCCTTAGAGGGGAAGCTCTTCGATGCCAATCTAGGGAAAAGTGACCCAAGGCTCCCTCAGCCCAGCCAAGGGGCAAAGTCTTTCAGCCACACCACACCCGTGCCCCTCCCCCTCACAAAACTCCAGGCCGGGGTTTCCCACCTGCAGGATGCTAAGACCAAGGGAAGGGAGAGGGGAAAGAGATGGCACGGGACTGGAACTGGACTCGGGGCAGAGGTGGGAGCGAATAGAAGGGGGAGGAAGCCTCATTGCCTGGCAACCATCCCGGGGCACGTGCACTGGTGACATCATCCCAGGCCACCTCTAACACAGACCTTTGACCCCTACGGGGCGGAGTGGGTGTGCTCGCTAAGCTTCCTGGAAACACCCTTAGGAATTCTGGGAACCCAAAAAGGAGACATAAGAAGAAACCCAGGCGTCCTTATCTCTTTTACCCCTAATACGACTCCAATCCCAGGGACTCAGGCCTCTTGCCTGTCTCCTCCTCTCCGCCTGCAGCCCTGACCTCCCAACCCACATTTCTGACGGGAGTCGGCCCGACACGCCCCTCGGAGATACTGTGCCTTCTCTCTCCTGGGCGATATCTCGGTGGGGGCCGGCAGGCGGGGACGGGGGCACCGGGTCCCGCGGGGCTCCGTCTTCCATCTGCAGGATCCCCCGTGCCCCAGCCGGCCGCCAGCCGGAATCTGTCTGGGTCCCCAACTCTCCCGCCCCTCCCCGCGCTGTTCCAGGGCGGAGTCTGCGGAGTTGAAACCAGGACACGGCGAGAGGAAGAGTTATATAACCCGGAGAAGCGGAGAAGGACGAGTGGAGACAGGGACAGACAGCCCGAAAGGAGCCGAGGGAGGTGCAAAGAACGCCGGGGCGAATGAGGAGGAAACGTTAGGAATGGGAAGGGTTTTGGTGCACATCAAAGAGCAGGAATTCACGCGAAGAAGGGGCGTGATGGCCCAGAAGAATCACCTGGGCCGTCCGGGGCTTTCCCGCAGTGCCCTCCCCCGCCACCAACAGCAGCTGGCCCCAGGCGGGAGAAGCCTTGGGAAGGGGCGCTGGTACCCGCTCGCTTTCTCTTGGGAAAGCAACCTAAGCCAGAGCCCGGGAAGGCAGCGGCCGAGCAGATGGGGCCGGAAACCACAGCTCCGCCCAGCCCACCTGGGAGTGTGGGGCGCCAGCTGGGGGGAGGTGGAGAACAGGTAGTCGACCCTCCCGAGCCCGGTTGGGCATTATGGTCGCGACCCGTGAAACGGTGCAGACCGACCGAGACATGTGGGTCCCCAAGGGCTGAGGAGCGCAGCCTCGGCGGCTTTACACGGACGCCACACAGGGGAGGGGGCGCCCGGCTCGCCGCGCAGGCGCAAGGGGGTGCTCGGGCGCGTGCGGCGCAGGGCGGGGGGTGGGCGCGAGCGTGTGGGAGTGCACGTGCGGGTCCCGGGCAGCTGCTGCCTCCCAGCCTCCGCCGCTGCCCCTCCCCTCTCCCTTTCCTGTCGCTATCATGCCCCTTCCGCATTGGCTGCCAGGGCCCTGACGTCAGGGCCGACCGCTGGAGCGGATTGGGCGGACGGGAGAGCTCGGGAATCCGGCTCCCAATTCTCGCCCACCAGTTACTCTGGCAACAAGGCAAGCAACCCCGGTGAGGGAAGGGGAGCCGAGGTGAACGCTGCGCCTCGGTCCCTCCCACCTCCGGACAATCGCCGAGTCCCCTTCGGTCGCGGCGCAGCTCGCTGCCTCCCCGCTTTCCTCCCAGGGCTCTTCCTGTCCCGGGAACCAGGCGTCCTGCCCTCGACCTTCCCTACAGTCTTCTGGCCCTCCGCTGTCTCTAACCTCCCCCCTCAGTGTCATAACATAAGCTGCAGCAAACAGGAAACGAATCTACGTCGCTTAGCAACCGCCCCGCGTGCCCCCCTCCCCACTATTTACCCCTGCCCGGAGAGGTGGAGATTGAGAGAGTCCCCAGCCTCCTCCCCATCTTCTGCGCTGCGACCTCCTGCCCACAATTTCCTGTGAGGGGGCCCAGATGACAGGAAGTCAAGTGGGGGCCTCAGCCCACCTTTCCCTCGGACCGGGGCGGGGGGCTTCACTACTTTCACGGTCACATCCCCCACCCGCACTCCCAGCTGCCCTGGGTGCGCGTCTCGCCCTCGCCATCTTGTGGCTACGTTGGGAAGGTTCCGCACCGAGAAGCCGTGCGGGGCGCGTGAGGGCTCGGGAACGGCAGAGTGGGAGCAGAACTAGGGATGAGGAGGCTAGCGGGGCGAGACAGAGTGAAGGGGAGGCGCAGTGGGGGGAATGGGATAGAGGCGAAGGCTGCCGCTGGGAGGCTCTCGGGGCCGCTGGTGGGAAGGTCAGGCTGCAGCTTCTACACCTACCCGCGCAGAAAACTGGAGGGAGACTTTAAGTAGCCCTGGGACCGGGACACACCCAAGTCTGACCCATCTGACCTTACTGGGCCATGGCATTGGCCTGTCTGCAAACTCTGCCCTTTAGTCCTGCCCTTCAGTGAGGACCGCCGCGCCCCGCCCCGCCCTGGAGTCGGGAAGGGGAATCCCAGCCCAAGGGGAACGGGGAGTCCTTTCAGGCCCCTCTGGACATCTGGAACCTGAGACATCTGCCTCCCAGTTCTTCCTCCTTCCCCGCCGTACTCTCTTCTAGGGGACCCATGACCTTCGCCCCAGTCTTCTTCCCAGTGCCCTTCCCAAGACCCCAACGTCCATCCCCAGCTCTACCCCTCCAGAGACTCAGGCGTCCTGCCCCGCTGCACTGGGAAGGTTTCCCTCTTTCCAGACGTCCTCGCGGCTCCCCGTTACCTGGTTCTGGGGGGGGGGTCCCAGGTGTTCAGGCTCCCCAAGGTATCCCAGGGGGTCGAGCGGCCCCCCCTTCTCCCAGGCCGGGGCTGGGGGGGCCGCTCCGCCCAGTGGCGCAGTTGGATTTTCCAACACAAACACCCGCACCCCCACTCCCCAGCCCCGCCCCCTTCTCGTGGTCCCGCCCCTCCTCGCGCTCAAGTCCCCTTCTCCGGCTCCGCCCCGTCTTCTGCCGGTCCCGCTAGCCTCAGGGCGGGTGCTGACTAGGATGCCGGGTGCGGGGTGGGGGGTTCAGGGTGCAGTGTACGGGGTTCAGCCCTGATCCCTGCCTGACAAATCCCTACCCCATTTGGATCACGCGCCCTTCTAAGGTAAGCCCCACCCCGCCCACTGATGTCCTGCCCAGAGACTTAAGCCACAGCCTCTTCTGGCGGCTCCGCCCTGCCCATTCGTTCAGAGCCACGCCTCCGTTCCTCTCCAGGCCGCCCCACCTCCCTTATTTCTTTCCCCGTCCAGTAGCACCTCCCCAGTAGCTCTGTCCTCTGTGAGGCTCGGGTTTCCTCCCTCCCCAGACTCTCACCATTGCATTGAGAGACTTAAGGCTTGTTGTCGCGGGTGTTTTACAGCACTGAGCTTCAATACAACTTTCACTTTTATGGCTAACACGGCTAGGTATTTCCAGGGCCACATCACACAAATTCGGCCAAGGTCAAAGTCTGAGTGAGGTCCCGCCTCAGTCCTAGGTGCAACATCTGTCTGAGCTCCTGGAGTCCCCCACCCTCTCTCAAGCGGAGAAGGGGAGGAGGTCTCAGCTGTCCAGGCTCATGAGTAGAGCAGTACCCCTCTTGATCCAATGATCAGATGTCATGGCCCCAGACCGCAGGTCAATGCCGATGACAAAGGAGGCTCGGTCTGAGCTGCCTGCCCGGTTGGGATAGTAATAGCAGGGGCAGGAGTACATGCCTGGGGGAAAGGAGAGGAGGAGTCAGATCCTCGGAGCCTCCGGGAGAGCAGGGCAGGAGCGGGTGTGGGATGGGCTGGAGTAGAGAATGGGTTAGGTTCCAAACTAGGGACTGGGCAGGCAGGTCCTGCCTGGGGAGCTGTCCCACCCTTGGCGCTCTTCTTGCGGCTCTCTGCAGGCCGGAAGTGGATCGTGGGCATGAGGCAGACAAGCTGCATGGGCTCTGCCTCCACCAAGCAGGAGTTCTTCCGGTCCCAGCCAGCACCTTCCAGGTACAGGCCCCGGACCCAGACACCATCCTGGGGAGAAATGGGAGCAGGTCTGGGAGAAGCTAGACTTCAGTTGCCGGCGCCCCTGGCCTACTCCCTCTCTCCTCCCTTCTTGTCCAATTATTTCCCATTTTTGCTCAGAGCCTCAAGCACAACTGGCTCCCACCTTAGGGGGATACACTAGGTTGCTGTCATCCACAGTGGAAACGATGAACTCCCAGGAGAGGCTGTCCACTGAAACCTGGGGGTTGAAGGTGAGAATAAGGAAGGACCCCGAAGAGGAGAACACATACATGGCCCCAGCAACATCCCCCTCACACTTTGCATATTGCTCACATTGTTTTGGCGAGCTGAAGACTGCAGCACAGCAGTGAGGAAGCCAGTGGGAAAGGTGAAACCAGACAACCAGAAGATCACAGGAGGCCGGGCCCGGCTGGCCCACAGCTCAAACTGCTCCACACGCATGGCCAAGTCCCGGGTCCAAGCAGCCAATGGCTTTTGTGAGGGGTATGCCTGGGGAAGGAGTGCGTGTGTATTCATTCATTTAGCCATGGATTTGAATCCATATTATTTATTTTGAGACAGAGTTTCACTCTTGTCACCCAGGCTGGAGTGCAGTGGTGCAATCTTGGCTCATTGCAACCTCCGCCTCCCGAGTTCAAGTGATTCTCCTGCCTCAGCCTCCCAAGTAGCTGGGATTACAGGCGCCCACCACCACGCCTGGCTAATTTTTGTATTTTTTAGTAGAGACGGGGTTTCACCATGTTGATCAGGCTGGTCTCAAACTCCGGAACTCAGGTGACCTGCCTGCCTCGGCCTCCCAAAGTGCTGAGATTGCAGGCGTGAGCCACCGTGCCCAGCCCAAATCCTTATTTTGAGCCCCTGAAGCAGATATGAGAAGACTATGTGGTGTCAGCCCCTGTTCCCTAACTACAGGTGAACAAAACTCTCCAAAGCCGACTTCCAGGAAAGACGCATACAATGACAGCTATTCATTAATAACAATGACTGCAGTAATATTAACCAGGTACCATTAACAAAGCACCTACTGAGTGGTATGCACAATACTGGGAATCGTTGAAACATCCTTAGAGAGGTTAGTAATTTGCCCTGAGTAAGTCTGTAAGTTAATAAATTGTAAGAAGTCAGTCAATGAATGGCAGAGCCAGGTTTCAAACTTGAACCTATCTAACTTCAAAGTTTAGGCTCCCTACAGTTTGCTATATGCCCACCTAGAACCAGGAGACTGGGGGGCACAGGATTGAGAGGGGAGCTCATTGTTGGAGAAGGATCAACAATGGTATAATCTTGCCTTTCCCCAGAGTGGAGGAACGTGAGCATCAAAGATGCAATTGAAAATCTCTTCCAGGCTTGTAGACATGACGATGAGCCCCTGGATGCCTTTCTCTAGGTCTGTCAGTGAGAACCTGAGCAGGATGAGGTGGAGTGTTAGAGATGGGGTGGGCCTGGGAACGTCATTCTAGCCAGAAGGCGAAGGCCTCTCCTCACCCCCTCCCATGTTCTGCAGAGTTCCCGATCCGTCTTACAGGATGGTCTGCATCAGTGTGTTATATCTCTGGATCTCCTGCAGAAGGACCACATTGAGAGGGGAGGGGTCGAGAGCTAGCAGTTTTTGGGTCCCCTCATAGTCGATCATTTCAGGGATCTTCTGCTTCACATCAGCGGCCAACTCAAGGACCTGAGCAGGGAGGAGCTCTTGAGTGTAGCCCCTTCTTCTCATCACTTACCTCCCCTACCCTGCCACAGGCCGGGCTCTTTCTACCTTCTCTTCCCGGGTCTGGCCTCCAGCCCTGGTGGGTGTAATCTGAGGTTGCAAGGAAAGCAAAGTATCAAAGAGGGTTCGTGCCTCAGTGATCTGAGAGGCCACATCAGCATTGGGGTGCTGGCCAAAGGCCTCAGGGGGGTCCATGCCAGGCAATAAACTGATGTATTCCTTGTAAGAAGCCAGGCTCCCATCCTTGGGGATGAAATAAGTCTCCAGTGCTGACAACCTAGGGAGTCATAGCATAATTACTGCCACATTATGGGGACTCAGGCCTCAATGCCAGGCCAAGACCCCAAGCCTATGCATGTCCCATTTGTCCAGCCCCCTGCCCTGCTCCCCCTCCCAATCCCACAAACTCTTGTCTTCTCCCAATTTCATGTCCTCTCCTCAAACATTTCCCCCACCCCTGATCCCGCCACCTGGCTGGCTTGTGACCTCTGGCTCCCTGCCCAGTGCCACCTCCCCCTCACCGGTAGAAGGGAATTGATAGAGACTGGTCGCAGAAGTAATCATTGATGTAGGTGGTCAGCAGGCGCCGGTCCCAGTCATCTGTGACATGTCCACCATAGTTGACGCCGGCAATGAGGTACTTAAGTGCATCCCAAGGTGTCTCCTCGTACTCATCCAGATAGAGGCTCAGCAAGTTCTCTGACACCTAGGCATGGTCCCAACCCAAGCCCCCATTCCCACAGAGTTATGGCAGGAAATCTGCCAATGGGGCTTCAACACAGGTTTTCTGCCCATGGATAGTCCCACAGGGGAGCCATGGGGTAGGAAGTATGAGGAGAGAGGGCTGGGATGAGGACCCCTGGCTAATACAAACCTCAAAGTCAGAGTCATTGAAGCCATAGATTATGTTCCAGCCAAGCTGCAGGAACTTTTTGCGTTCAAGTAATACAGAGTGGAAGAAACAGAGTGAAAACAGCAGCTTCTTGTATTTGGCAGGTTTGGAGCAGCGGGAAAACTGTGGTTCTGACATTAGTTGGTAAAGACGTGTCATGTTGGCCTTTAGGCCCTGGGGACAATGAAATACAAAGATGGGGTGACATGCATCATACTCAGACCTGCCACTAGCACCGCCATGTACAGTTGTGGAGGTTCTTCATTGCACAAAGGCACTGGCTGAAAGGATGAGTGGAGGCTGAAATGCAGCCCTTGATCTACGTGCCACAATCTGCATTCCTCCACAAGGCTGAGTGCCTTTCTCCAGTTCACAGACAGGACAGGAACTATATGGGCTTCCGGCAGCCCTGTCTTCTTGTCCCACCATTTTTTTTTTTTTTTTTTTTTTTTTTTTT